GGTCTTGAAATCAAGATAGAGAAAGGGGGAACTCTGAATCTCCCCAAATCATTAGTTATTAATAGTCATTTCTCTCAAGGTGGTAATTCTACATGGCCTCTGAGCTCCTTTCCAGCTCTAAATCTATGATCTCAGAAGCACCTACCTTCAGGGAATATAGTGTGAGGCTTGGAGTCAGGAAAACTGAATTTAAATGTGGCCTCAAACACTTATTAGCCACGTGACCCTAAGTCAGTACATTTCACCCTATTAAGAGAAAACACCTTTAGGAACCAGAGCTGGATTAGAGTACCTCCTTATAGGAAGTTTTCTGAATATTTATGTAGCTTATGCCACCATATAAAAACCCCAAATGCTTAGTTGTTTACTGAATTAGTCAAGGTGCAAGGTCGAATAGGAAGTGTGTGTGTGTGTGTGTGTGTGTGTGTGTGTGTGTGTGTGTGTGTGTGAGAGTGTGTGTGTGGATCTGAAATCTAAATTTATTATTTTTCAAAGGTTGGAGCAATTATTTCTTGCAAAATATGAACACAAATACAATTTGTTTGTTTTAAAATATGTAAATGTTATCACTAAACATACACAGTTTATGTTATTTAACAGCAAAGGGGCAGAAAAGTACAATAGATCTCATAAGAGAATCTACTGTTTTACCATGGGCAAGTCCTAGCTTCTATGAATTAGCTTCCTCAAGTATGAAATGAAAATCATAATATTTACATCTGGGTTCAAGTCTTGCCTCTAGTAAAAACCAGCTTTGTAATCACTGTCAGGTCACTTTACTGCTTGGTGCCCACCAACCCCTCCCATCCCACAACTCTCTAAAACTATGACTCAAAGAGGAGTTAGCAATTTTTATTGGTAAAGTGATTTTTTTCACATGAGGAATTCACCACACAGAGAAAATCATTTGCATTTCCTCCTTCTTTCTTCCTAGTATACTATATGCCTCACAGGACTATTGTGAGGAAAGAAAACTACTTTAAAAAACTTAAAGTCACAGAGAAAGAGAGAGAGAAAGAAAGAGAGAGAGAGAGAGAGAGAGAGATTATATAAATATATATGTACACATACACATATAAATATGCAGTTGTTATTAAATAATTTTTAAATTCTCATTTTAAAAAAATAGCTCAACAATAAGATACTAGTCTTCTAAGTAAATTTTCTTTGCATCATTCACTTGGTATACATCAAACCAATTTGTCTGCTGATAAGCAAAATTTCTTAGCAAACATTAATAGAACAATTTTAATTTTCTGTTCAAAAATTGTTCAAAATATTCTGTGACAAGGAATATTCTTTTTTTTTTTTTGCTTTCTGAAGTAGTTTGTAAAGTCAGTCTAAGGGCAATTGCTGAGGGGAACGGATGGATGTAGGGATGGATAAGCATTTATTAAGCAATTATTCTGTGTCAAGCAGTGTTAAAAGTTGGTAATTCAGAAAGGAAAGCAAGATAGCCACTGCTTTCAAAGAGTTCACATTCTAACAGAGGAAAATAATACATGTAGGATGGTTCATCTTTAAGGTAGAAGGAAAGTCCCAGTGATCCTCAGTAAGTAGAAATCAAGAAATCAGAGATAAGAATGAATGTCAATCTTCCATTCTTATTTAAGTTAAATAAAAAAGCAAGGAATCAGGAATGGCTACCTCTTAGAATTTTTTTTTTCAGTAAAAGAGTAAAATAAGGCAGAAAAGCCTCCAATGGATAATCAGAGAGACTTATTGGAGATTAGGAGTCCCAGACACAAGATTGCATCACTCTTATTTCTTTTCCTTGTATAAGAAGCCTGAGAAGTGGAAATATTTAAATGAAGATAAAATCCCCTGGTGAAATCCTTTTATAAATATGCTATGCAAGTGAGCATCTAAGAGGAATTAAGATTATTTGTTAAGTCATGGTATCCATAGCTGACGCCAAATGGCAGGTTGTCAGTAGGGGCTTTCCATATAAAGTGAAATAGGTTAGGGTGAGCATCTTAGCATGTCATGTTAAATCAAAAAAAAAGGATAAAAGATAATAAAGAGAGAGAAAAACGCCTAATTGTATCTTTACATGCTTTCTTTATGAGTTGACTTCAGAGCCATTAGATGTTCTGGTTTTTATTTAATGTTTGTAACAGTTTAAATATATATATATTTTTTCTATTTAAAAATGATTATTTCTGTTATAAGACTTCCACATTTATGTTTTTAAGCCTGTGGAAATCTGAGCAAATAGTTGCCATCTGAAACTCAGGGAAAAAAATAGGTTCGTAATTTCATAGACTTAAGTTTGAAGAGATGCTCGTCATCCTCTAGTTGAACCTTTTTCTTTTATAGATGGAGAAACTGAGGCCCAGAGAGATTAAAGTGACTTGTAGGAAAAAGGTCATGCTGGCAATAAATTATTGAGATGAGATTTGAACTCGGGCTTACTAATTCCAAAGTGTAAAAAAAAAAAGTGCTTTTAAGACTATAGCTCATTGTCACCATATCATTTATTAATCCTCATGCCTGAGGTACCCTAATGTTACCTGAGAGCATTGCATTTAAATTTAATTGATACTGAATAGGAGTTAAGGCCTTTGAAAACTGAATCTGCAAAACTAACTCTTGATGTGATAACATTTTCCCTGGGTTCTTTCAGCTACTGAATTTCTCCTTTAGTTATCAGGTCACAAAGACTTATGACTAAAATTTCTCAGGTGTAATAACACTTCAATTTATATCATGGAGACCTTCCACTGAGAGTTATAAGGGTTGTAATTTGCACCAGTGAAGAGATTATCCCTCCCTGATGAAAGCATAGACCATTTGAAGTACCCCAAAAAATAAAAGGTGTTTGTTTTTTTTTAATTGAATTTTATTGTTTTTCACATTGCTTTTATATATACCACTTCATTTCTTTCTTTCAGCAATCGTAGGAGGTAGGCAGAGCAGGTGGTAGGTAAGGTGGTATGATGGTGAACAGAGAACTTTTGTTACATTCTTACCATCTCTGTGACCTTAGATAAATCTTCTAATTTCTTTGAGTCTCAAATTCCTTGAGTGTGAAATGAGGAGAGTGTGCTAGATAACCTTCAAGCTTCTTTCCAGTTCAAAATTCTGTGATCAGTATATTACAAATAACAAAACAGAAGCCTACAGAGTTCACTTGTCCAAATACACAGAAAGTTATGGAGGTAAAACTAGAACCTCCCAGGTCTTTTGTCTCCTATTCTGGAACTTGGTTTGCTTTACTATGCTGCTTATATAACAGGGAATACTCAACCCCTCCCCCCATCCCACTGCCTAAAGGCCAGGTGTGTTACATTTTCCCCTCCACCAGAGTACCACCAGATGTCTAGTCTTTCTGTCATTCACTCAGACCCCAACCAATTGTGTTCCCTCAAAATTTAGGGATCTCATATACTTCTTTTCCTTTTAACCACTTAACAGTCAGGTTAGCTTTTATGAAAGAATAGAATTGGACCTAAAGACCTATAGGGCCCTCTCCAATTAGAAATATTACTACTCTTCACTTATTGTTAGTCTAAAACTGTAATTCATTGGAATAGGGAACTCTCATTAAGGAAGCCTCGATCAGTATAAATCAGCAGCTGCTCTTCAATTTAAAATCTTAGCATTAGGTGCTAACTTTGAGCATTGAGATAACTTGTCCAAGGTCATAAAGCCAGAAAGTTTCAGAAACTGGACTTGAGCACATATCATCCTGACCCTGAAGACTGTTTTCACAAAAAGAGACCACACTGCCTCTTTTTGTTTTTTAACTCAACATTATTTTGTTTGTTTGTTTGTTTCTGATGTGCCTCCTCTATCTATAACTTGGTTCCCGTGTCTTTAGTGGCTATTTTCTCATACTTAACCTCTTTAATTGATTAAAAAATTAAATCCTAAAAATGAAATAAACTATCTCCATGCAGGGATCACGACAGTACTGACTATGACGACTCTGAGTACCATAGCGCGGAAGTCCTTACCTCGAGTGTCTTATGTCACCGCCATGGACCTGTTTGTGACTGTGTGCTTTCTATTTGTCTTTGCTGCTCTGATGGAATATGCTACTCTTAACTATTATTCAAGCTGCAGAAAACCAAACTGTGCCAAGAAGAAAAAGTCGGTATGTTGTCTTTACTGTATTTACTAAAACAGCCAAATAATTTTTTTCAAAGGAAAAAATTACCTTGAATTAGTATGCTACATGTACATATGACATAATTAGTAGCTGTATGTATAACTATCCTTTTAGAGTGGAAAGATGAAGATAAAGACCTCCAATTTCATTACTGTAGGCAGTTCCCAGGGAACAAACATCCTCTCTGGATACAGAGCAGCAATTCATTTTTAACTTAAAGTCTTAGAGAGTTGCCCAAAGCAGATAGAGGTTGAATAACTTACTATCAGTCACACAGCCACTGTGTTTTAAAGGCAAGAATGGAACCCAGATCTTAATGATCTCAAGGCCTTCCATCTGCTATTTCACAACTTCTCTTAAAATTGTCTTTCCTGAGCTCAAGTAAATACTTATAACCTTTAGGTTTTTTTTGTTTTGTTTTGTTTTTTGGTGAGGCAATTGGGGTTAAGTGGCTTGCCCACAGTCACACAGCTAGTAAGTGTTATGTGTCTGAGGCTGGATTTGAACTCAAGTCCTCCTGACTCCAGGACCGGTGCTCTATCCACTGCTTATCCACTGCGACACCTAGCTGCCCCAACTTTTAGGTTTTTTTTTAAGCAACTAAGAAGTTCCCATTTGGGACTTCTCAGCCATGGAGAGTATTTCCCACTGGCAGTGTTCAATTATTCAGTACCCTTCCAAAGTATTTTTTTTTCATTTCCAACATCTAATTTTATGGCTTTTTCCTAATGGGACATGGGTTAATTTAGTCATGGGAGAGTTGAGTTTTAGTAAATGAAAATGGCATGCTAAATGGTTTTTTTCCCCCTTTTGTTCTAGTTAATGCACTCAGAGACAACTGAATGGGTCCATGAAAGAATACGTACACACACCCACAGCGTATGTATTGCTCCTGACCAGGTGTCAATAATTCCTGAGTGTCTTTATTTAAATGAGCTTTCATTTGAAAATAAGCTATGTACATGCTATCTGTGCCTAATTGACACATCTGTTATATTTATCACTCTATATGTACAATAAATGTATCTTGCCAACCTGTGTACTAGACGTGTTTGCCAAAATTGCTGTTGAGTTTTCCACTTAGTACTTTTTAAATCTTCTCGTGGGAAGTCTCAGTGAGGTGCCATCTTTTTTTAATGTGTTTGATGTGTTTCTTTTCATTGGCTTCATCAGGTTTAAAGAATAACCCATTTCAGCCTCAATGGAAAATCACAATAAGAAAGTATGGATTTTGTCAGCATCTGCTCTACTGAATATTCACATGGCAGAATGCACCATGGCAGAATGCAGGGTGCTTAAGAACAGCTACAAAACCAGAATGAATCACTTGGGTATCAAGGAGGCAGAAAAATGTTAACCAACTTAGCCAAAGAGCTGAAGGTCAAGTTCAGGGGCTAGAACAGTTACTGACACATAGACATAAATGCTTGTTGATTGATTTGGCTGCAGAGAATGGAGAAAAAATAAAATAAAAACAGAAAAGAGGCAGATTATCCTTTTTCCCCTTTTTTGTATAGAAGTCATTCAGCTAAGAGCAAGTAAAGAATCTCTTGAGCAAAGGGAATAGAAAATCTCCTATGACTAGAAAGCAAAACAACACAGGGGAAAGTCTAGTGCCCTAGGAAAAAGAATAAAATGAATTAATTCAAAATCAAAAGGGTGTCAATCAAGTGGGAGAAAGACAAAGACACAATCAGACAACTCTTCAGCAAATAATTTATACTTTTAACAAAAACAGTCCAACAATTTCAAAACTGAAAAAGTTTATAGTGATAGTTATACTCCTGTTCCATAAGATACTCCAAATTTTGCCATTTTCAACCATTGCCACCACAATTAAAATGAAGCAGTGAGGTGAATCAGCTCCAAAAGTACAAGGAAGATGTTGTAGGATCTTTTAGGGTAAGTGTAAAGACACCTTTACATCCAGAAGGATTAAAAGAATGAATAACTCAGGATATGACTACTGAATGAAGTTAATGAACTACTCAAGCAACACTAGAAAATATTTCTTGGAAGCAGTTAATAGCCTCATTAAGAAATATTTTGAGACTTTTCAGCACAGTTGGGATAAGGCATTTGTGATCCCTAGGCCAGGTTGGAAAACTGGGCAACCTGACATTTGCAAATTGAGCCCATATACATTTGAAGTTTCATTTTCCTGGAGATGTGCCTAGCTGAGACTTTGAACCTACTATAATCCATATGATTTGAGTGATCACAAAATGGCTTCCTAGATAGAACCATAAAAACCAATTAAAATATAGGTATGTATGTAAGTATGTATATGTGTGTGTGTGTGTGTATAGACAGAGACTGATTCCCAAGAATTCATAATATCCAAGATCACACTATATTCCTCCTGCTCATGCACAGAAACTGAGGACTAGGAAGAAGATATTTCTCCTATCTCCATCTAAACAAAGGCATTCCTTCCATAGGTGGTTTTGTTCCTTAAGTCCCCATTAGAAACTGGGATATCCCTACAAAACCAATCAAGATCCTCTAGTATCATTGTATCCTAAATGCCAATGCATAGCAGCCCACTGTAAGTTTGGCACTACCCCCACCACAGTACTTGAGCATATGGCCTCGGCTTCCTTCCCCCTACAGGCTGCTATAGTTAAAATATCCTGAGCAATGGTGGAACCTTGGCCTTCATGCTAGAAAAATTCATTTCAATAACCCTTCAAGTCTGGACACAAAGGCTTGTGTGTCCTGAAAACAACCAGGTGGGGTGGGAGACCAACTCTGTGTGACTGGGAAACAAGTAGGTAAAGTGCCTGCTTTTAGGAATGCCCTACATTTTGGTGGGGAAGAATGACCTTGCTACCCTAGACTCAAGTGCAATTTTACTAACAATTTTGATATATATACATCCAAACACACACATATACACACCTGTATATATGTATATACACATTCATTACGTATCATATGTACACATACACATACACATGTATTATATATTATAAATATTATATATGTATAAAATCTTTCAATTCTACATTTAAAAAGTCATTCCTAAAGTTTATTAAAGAAGAAAGCATCTTCATATAGTACCTACCCAACATAGAAAGACATATAGTTAAGGCCTGATGATATTGGGGGCTAGAGAGTATTCTACCCAAAAGGCAATATCTAATTGCACCTAATGAAGGTTGATCCTAGGAATGGGAAATCCTAGAGAGGAAGCTTAGATTCCAAACCACCAGACTTCTCCCTAAAGCGGTCCTATTAAACTACATGCTCATTTAACAATAACTTGCTTAAATTAACCAGGCAGGTTACTAAATACTAATAGTATTTATTTCCCCATATTGAAAGAAACCCTCTGGGAAATAGTGTTAAGGTGGCGGGGGGGAAGAAGGAGTAATAGGATAAATTTGAGGCTCTTTTAGCACTTGCTGTAGTACCCAGTCAGAATTACTCCTTTTATCCTGTTTTATAGTCATCAATTCCAGAGAGTCCAAGACATTCTTCAGGAAAAAAAAAAAAGCAATACTGAAAGATCTAAAAGCATACTTTCCCTATATCCATTAACACTTAATCTACTTATCTCTTCACCTAGGTAATTAACAACTCTATTTGACAATCCTCTGACTTCTGTGTTTTATTATTTTTTTTATTTAAATCTCATTTACCTCTGCCTCTAATTGCTTAATCTTTAAAGACAATTTATGTTGTTTTATTGTCCTTCTTCAGGAACACATCATTTCTATAGATGACATCAATAGCCAAATAATACTTCTTGCATTTTTCTTACAAATTTCTTTCGATATGTATCTTAATAATCTCACAGAATCAGTAGGAACTTTTTTCTTTATTCAAAAAAGAAGGCTTTGGCCATATATTCTAGACAAGGCTTTTACTATTGGGAAAAAATAATCTATTTCTATCCATACCATTGTCCAGCTCTTCTTTTCTTCCACAATGCCTTTTGTTCATTTTAAAAATTAATTGAAGCATAAGTCTATGGTAAAAATAAAAGAAAAATAGCAACAATAACTAATATAACTTACAGGACCAAATTTATGGGGTAAGCCTATATTCAGCTTAGTAAAGCGGGTTCAAGATTTTTATTTTTTTATTTAGTATTTTATTTCTCCCTAGTTACATATAAAGACAATTTTTAACATTCATTTTTAAAACTTTGAGTTCCAAATCCTCTCCCCAACCCCCCCTTACCCCCTGCATTGAGAAGGCAAGCAATTCCATGTAGGTTATACATGTGTAGTCATGAAAAACATTTTCACATTTTTCATGTTGTAAAAGAAAACATAGACAAGAAAAAAATTCAAGAAAAATAAAGAAAGTAAAAAAAAAAGTATGATTCAATCTGTATTCAGACAACAACAGCTCTTTCTCTGGGGATAGATAGCATTTTTTGTCATAAGTCCTTCAGAGTTGTGTTGGATCACTGTATTGCTGAGAATAGCAATAGCTGATCATCTTACAATTTTGCTGTTACTTTCTACACAGTACATTTCATTTTGCCTCATTTCATGCAAGTGTTTCCAGGTTTTTCTGAGAGCATCGTGCTCATCATTTCTTATAGTACAGTAGTATTCCATCATAATCACATACCACAATTTGTTCAGCTATTCCCCAATTGATGGGCATCCCCTCAACTTCTAATTCTTTACCCCCAGAAAAGAGCTGCTATAAATATAGGTCCTTTTCCTTTTGTTTTTTTTTTATCTTTTTGGGGAGATTGACCTAGCAGTGGTATTGGTAGGTCAAAGGGTATGCATGGTTTTATAGCCCATTGGGCATAGTTCCAAATTGCTCTACAGAATGGTTCAATCAATTTACAACTCCACCAACAGTGCATTAAAGTTTAATTTTTTCCCACATTCTCTCCAACACTTGTCATTTACCTTTTCTGTCCTATTAGCCAGTCTCATAGGTATGAGGTAGTACCTCACAATTGTTTTAATTTGCATTTCTCCAAATAATAGTGAGAGTACTTTTTTAATATGACTATAAATATCTTTGATTACTTCATCTGAAAATGGATCATATATTTTGATCATTTATCAGTTGGGGAATGGCTATTACTTTTATAAATTTGACTTAGTTCTCTATATATTTGAAAAAAAAGACCTTTATCAGAGAAACTTGCTTCAAATTTTTTTTTCACAGTTACTCTTGTTGATTTTATTTCCCTCCATCCTATTCCCCACCCTGTTTATTCTATTCTCTCCTTTCACCCAGTCCCTCCACAAGTGTTTTGCTTCTGACTGCCCCTTCCCTCAATCTGCCCTCCCTTCTATCATGCCACCCCCCACCTTCTCTTATCCCTTTCTCCTCCTACTTTCCTGTAGAATAAGTAAAATAGATTTCATACCTATTTGAATGTGTATGTTATTCCCTCTCTGAGCCAATTCTAATGAGGTGAGGTTCACTCACTCCTCTGTACATCCTCGCTCTTCCCCTCTACTGCAAAAGGTTTTTCTTGCCTCTTTTATGTGAAATAATTTGCCCCATTTTACCTCTCTCTTTCTCTTTCTCCCAGAACATTCCTCTCTCATCCCTTAATATTAATTTTTAGATATCATCCCTTCACATTCAACTCACACTTGTGCCCTTTGTCTATATATGCTTCTTCTAACTACCCTAATAATGAGAAAGGTCTTCTGAGTTACAAATATCATCTTCCTATGTAGGAAGTCCCTTATGATTTCCCTTTCCTGTTTACCTTTTTATGCTTCTCTTGAGTGTTGTATTAGAAAGTCATATTTTCTATTCAGCTCTGTTCTTTTCATCAAGAGTGCTTGAAAGTCCTCTGTCTCATTAAATATCCATTTTCCCCCTACAATGATTATATGCAGTTTTGCTGGGTAGGTATTTCTTGGTTGTAATACTAGCTCCTCTGT